CAAGGCCTGCATTCCTGCTTCCTCACTCTGGGCTCCTGCCGGCCTTGGCCCCAGGCACCAATGCATGCCCGGCACTGATGCCCGTCCCCCGCACTTACTGCTTCTCAGCGCCGCCGCCTCTACCCACCCACCCGCTGGCCCCTTGTGCCAGCCTGGGCACTGGCACTCCTGCTGTCCTGCTCTGGGCATGGGCCCCTGTCAGCCTGGGCCCCGGGCCCTGCACTCCTGCTGCCCCACCCTGGGTGCAGGCCCCCACTGGCCCTGGCCCTGGGCACTGTCACAGGCCCCGCACTCCTCGTTGCCATTGCTGCTTCAGCTGGTGAACTCAGGTGGTGGAGCATTCCACAGGAGCCGGGTGGATGTTTGTAGCCAGCCAGGAGCAAGAGGGTTAGCAGCGTCCCTGCCATGTACCCGGCCAGTTGTAAACCCCACCCCGCTCCCAGCTGGCTGCAAAACCACCCCCCCTCCCATGGGACGTTGTCTACGGCCCCCACCAGTCTGTATTCACCAGCTGTGCCTAGCTTCTTCCCACACCCCCATGCTCATGCCCACGCCCAACTTGCTGCCACTCGCCACACTTGCTGCTGCTGCCGCCACCATTGCTGCTTCTTCCTGCCAAAACTTGCTGATTCTACTGAGCAATATAGTGAAACTTGCTGAGCGCTCAGTGAAACCAGGTATCAATTTTAAATGAGCACTATAGCGAAATAGCGTTAAACGAAATCACGTTAAGCGGGGGCTGCCTGTAATCAACTATCGTAGTTTAATAGCTTGCATAATAAGTATTCACCATCACACTTCATTCTTAACCTCCTGGAATTATAATTTTCCTGCATTAAGATCCAGTCTCTTTCGTACTGAAAGGCTGCTTCTTCCTTGTTTTCTTTTTCGTCACTTCATTTGTATACCAATATTAATCAAGTCTGTGTGCTATCAGCACCAGTTAGTTTTTCTGTTAGTACACATTTGTTGCAGGGTCTTTTTATAGAAGGCACTATCGATTATATAGTTAAAACAACAGATAGTTAAAGACCTTTCACTATAACCTACCATGACTACTTTTTTCAGCAGCCAAGATTCCTACAACCTCTTACAATGTTTTGTAAAGAGTTAATAATTAGTTTCTCATAACTTATTTTTACTACTGTTTTTTAATTCAGCTACTTCTGTAAATGGCATTAGTAAATAAATCAAAAAATCCTAATACAACCTCTGGCTTGGTTTAAGTAGCATGTGATTCTTTTCTGATATGCAGAAAAAACTCTGTGGTGCATCCCCCAGTTTTTATAAAAATACTTTGAAAACTCACTTTTTATAAGATATGAAGAAAATTTAAACAGCTTAATTCTTTGGGCTTTAGAAGCAGATAGCTAGGGGACTATAAATAAAATTCATAAAGAGGAGGGGCTTTTACCTGTGTGGTATTCTCCTTTTATTCTGAAATTTATTTCTTTTTTCTGATATGATTATATAATTGAGGTCCACAGTGCTGTATATGACAGCTCTGAATTTAAAGATATCACTTGTACCATACATTTTTAAAAGCAATATTGTCTGCCTCTGATAGAATCAAGTAATAAGATAAAAAAATTAAAAAAAAACTTGGCCTGGAGCTTAGTAGCTTCCTATTTTTTAGGAGGAATTTTTATATTAATCTTAATGTTTAAAGTGATCCAGTTTTGAAGTGATATATTGTTTAGAAACTGACTGAAATTCTTTTGTAGGAACTCTGTGATCAGAGGGGTCCTCAGGTGCACTGAGGCACTGAAAAGCTAGTTTTCACTGACACATAGGCCTTTTTATCATCAGGATGAGGTAGTGGTCGTATTTTAATTAAAATGTCAGAACAAATACTGTTGGAGTTATTGAAAATGAATCACCAGATAAAGTGAGCACTGGGCCATGGCAGGTCAAAGAGGCAAAGTCACCTGGAGAAGAGGACTTCATTCATTTTCCTGCCTAAATGAGGAAGAAGTAACTTTTATGAAAATATGAACTTTTTAATATATTAAAGTGCATCTTGCTCTGTATTAAATCTCAGATGTTCGCAGGCTGAGTTTAATTCATATTTTTAAATCGTTAACATGTATTTTATTTTTAAATAAAATAGTTGACAGTCATAAAAATGATGTAGATTTATCCTTCCACTTGCTGTCTTGTATTCAGCTGCCTTTAAAATACTTGCTTGAGTTTTTCTGAATCTCAGCATTATCATCTGACATGCAAGTTTCTTCCTTACACAAATCTAACATAATTTTTTATGAGGAATAATGTTTTAATACAGGACAGTAATGCTGGCATCATTCATTTTAGAAGAGGGAGAATACCAAGAAAAATGGAGTGAATTTGCCTAAAAAAAATAGCATCTATCAGGATCAGTATTAGTATTATGCATTCTTCCATTGTACTGCTGCACTGCTGAAATCTGTAATCCTACTATTTTGAGGTGTTCATACATGTTTGCATAGAATGTGTTCATAGGTGTTCCCAGAATGATGTAGGCTGTAAACAGATGTCACATTTGTCCTGGGAGAAAACATTTTATCCCGGACAATGTTCAGTTGTTCAAACGAACATTTGATATAATTTGCTTTTGAAATAAAGAGTATTCAAGGCAACATCAACTGGCGAGAAGGGTTGGAAAATGTATTGTACTTTACAACTGGTAGCTTCAGAATAAGGGAATTGACATAGTACCTGTTGATGTGTGATAGGGTCTCTAAGTAAGCCAGGAATTATAAAGAATGTTATATTAATTTATGTTAACACAAAAACTTTATTCAAAAGTTAAAATTTGTAATAATCCATCAAGATCTATAACATAAATGGTTTCTAGAAACCATAATAATAATAATAGAGTAATAGTATAAGAATAATAGCATTAAAAGTGCTATTAGTACATTTTAGTGCCTTTTAAAAATATATATTTATACTCTGTTACAGTAATTTCACGATAATAAATTTAACTTTTTTATTATGTTGAATTACCCAGATCTCTTATTATATTTTAACACTGGTCACTGAAAACTGCTCTTACTATTTAGAGTCTGAAAATGGAGGAGGATTGGAAAAGCCCAGAGTTCTTTGGGCAGTATACTTCAACATGAGGGATTCTGCAGGCATTGACAGAAATTCCTATGACAGTTTACCTCCAAATGTCTATATCTGTTCTGGACCAGACTGTGCTTTAGGAAATGACTATGCTGTCAAACAGGTAAGGGATGTCAATCTTTTAGCTTTGTGGTTCAGTATAAAGACCTAAAAAGTTACAGTACAGTACAAAACAAAGTGCATTGTCAATATAGCTTTCATGCTTCATAGATCTAGTAAGTCTTTAAAATTTCTAGAAAAAGGTTGAAAATTTGTGGGTGCACAGGAAAAGCAGCTAATATAGTATGATGTGAAAGAAGTCTGGGAAATGGAAGTGGGGAAAAAGCAAGGCACCATTCAAAAACAGTTGGGTAGAACACAGGGTTAAGAGACAAGGAAAGAAATATGAACATAGTGCAATATAAAAATAGAGGTAAATCTTCAACTTAATGGGAGGAGAGCAGAAAGGGAAGCTTTTGAATCAAGAAAGTGGATGTAGCTGGAAATGATTCTTTGGTATCAAGATATTTTGCTTTCTCAGAGGTGAGAGAGGAAGACCAAAATATATAGCCCTTGTTCACAAAGGAGATAGCCAGAGAACAGCCAGGTTTTCTGGAGTGAATTCTGTTTTTGTAGAAAATGAAACAGCACACATCAAGAAGGGTCAGAAAAATCAAAGCTAAAGTAAACTCTGTGGAGTAAGATTTCAAAGTACAGTGAGGCCGTAGTCACACAACATCTGTTACCTTTCTGTAAGGTAATTACAGCATGTGAATTTTCAGATAATTAGGAAGAAACAGGTTGAATAATCTAAAATGAATTTTGTAATCTCTTTTGATATAAACCCAACAGGCACCAAAACAATGATTAAATAATGTATGTAATTTTAATACAAACTCATCCTAAAAGCCATAAATATCACAATAGTATAACTGCTCCAGAGCATTAAACAACAGCCAAAATATTCAAGTGCTGGCTACTTTTAAAATCACATTTAAAGGCTTTGGCAATATGAGAATCGCTCATATCACTTCTCATATGAGGAATTCATACCAAATATAATAAAATAGCACCTTAGTCTCTTCACATACTTGAAGTCATCCTCTACCAACATCATAAGCCTTAACTTGATCTTGGTCCTCAATATTTGGGCATCAGTATTGTATTCTATTAACTAAACCCCCACGTTAAATCACCAATGACTTGTCTGAGGCAGTAGGAGATATAAAATAGTGGTGTTCAACAAAATATAGGGCCACCCATTGCTTTGGTGCGGGGGAGGAGGACAGAACACAACTATGTGGTACAATAGAAAGGTGGGGAAGTAACTTCAGCCTCTATTAACTTTAGGTTAAACAAAGTCACCTAAATACCCAAGGTGGAAGTCTAAAACGCCAACGAAGTACTCTTCTACTTCCTTTACGTATCTCTTTTTTGCTCTCTATATTATTGAGCAGTAGAGTAATAAGGGATCGAGTGTCCCCATTTTGCTAAACCCAGAAAAGGAGGACTTTTCTGATGAGTTCTCTTTAAATGCCCATCTTGTAACAAAGGTGGGCAGTTGAGGCATGCATTGCAATTGTTTCTATAGTAAGAATGCCTTCATGCTAGAGTTGCTTCAGTGCTGGTGTGCACAAATGTTTTACACCCAGAATTTTTAAAGCTTTGTATGCCAAATTTTACCAGTTGCAGTTTTTTTATGACTCAGTCATAAACCCCTAAAAATAAGGAACTATAACAGAATGGCTGACACAGCCTGAACTATAGGGTCAGAGCACTATAATTAAGGGCTAATAGTACTCTTCACTTTGTTTTATAAGGCAATAATTTGCCTCCCAAGAGGATAAACTGAGAATAAAAGATTATAGAGAGAAAAATAGTGCAAGGCCATTAGTATAATAGCCCTGTTAAACTGAGAATGATTTGTTTAAAAATGTATTATTAAACAATTAACATTTTAAACTGTGCAAATAAAAAATACTTAGATATGTTTTTAAAACTAATCAGCATCATATTTACAGTACACTTCACCATGTGGCAAGCTGTGGCCTCGCTAAATCAATCTGTGTGTACTGCTGTGATTCATCATCCATTTCAGGATCATCTTTTCTTTTTCATTCTAATTCCATATCCTTATACATATAAATAATATCATAAATGAAAGCTACAGGTATTTGTAAATATAAAAATTCCAGTTGTTAATGTTTTTTCTCGGAAGGGCATTCAGGAGCTAAAAAGAACATAAGGAAAAGCATAAGTGGCTGAAGGGGTTGATTTGCAGAGAGAATCTGTGTAGTTCATCTAAGGAATTATTGGGTTTACCAGGGATGTTGTTTATATCTTTTACATGTTTATAAAAACCACAAACATAAAAAAAGTATCTTAGTGAGAAACAGAGATGTAACTTGAAGTAGGAATGGAGTAAATATAAGAAAGGGGAAATGTAGGCTGAATATGAGTCAAAATTTACTGAAAATGAGAAATCAAGCTGTGGACTAACCTTTCTAGGATCTGATAGAATGCTGTCTGATTTCTAGAGTAGATTCCTGTTGCCCTGTTTTAGTTGGTTTCCACTGACACTTCCATATTGGCAGTTCTTATAGATTTTTGTATTGTTGCTTTTCTCTTACCATGATTTTTTTGTAGATAACTTCATTGCCTAAAACCAAAACAAAATTACTTAAACCTTACTTTTTGAATTAGTTTTAATTTGCTAGATTGTCATAGTTATTGTGATCTGATATGATATTTTAATATTCTGTCTGATTTCAATTGAATGCATTTAACTCAAAAAAGGTGGGAGACCTGAAAACACTCTGTGCTATTTAATTGTTCAGTTGCCATCAAAATTATGTTGTCATACATATCAGATAAGCTAAGGTGGATTTTAAAAGGTATTCATGGTTTCTCCTAAAATTCTGGGAGTGCAGATCAAGCACAGCATTTTGTTCTTTGGTTTGTTTGGCCCAGCCTAATCATAAATAAATTATCCAATATTAGCTAAGTCTTTGGTTGTACCTAAGGTTTCACATTCTGTATAATTTACGTACTGTGTATTATAAGATGTGATTTCAGCTTAGGCTGGATGTTCAGTGTCTACCAGGAGAATTGATGCTCTCTCCTAGTAGAAACCCAGAGCACATAGACATTCAGGCTTTTTGTCCTGGGATGAAAATGGCTGCTCTGGGAGAAAAATAACCTGGGAATGACCAAGGTTAAATCACTCTGGGAGAGTCTCTTTCCCCCAGTTTCCCTCCGGGGTTCAGGGAGAATAAAGCCAGAGGAAAAGCTTCTGGTGGGGGAGAAGGCATGGGGGGCAGCTACTCCCCCACCCCATAGACCAGGAGGGAAGGGTAGGAACAGCTGCCAGGTGCTCCCTGCCTGCTTCTCACTGCTGGAGTTGTAGTGTGGGGTGAGGTAGGAGTATTTCCCCATGGCAGTAAAGCTCATGAGCCTTGTTGCTACAGCACAGCAGCTTGTCTCTGTTCTGGGTCACCTGGGTAGTGCAGGTGGCTAGGGGAAACCAAAGGAACTGGGAGCCAGGCCTGCATTCATGCAGAAGTTTTCCCCAAGCCAGACTCCAGTCCCTCTGGGGATACCTTCAAAGATTTGAAGTCAGCCTTTGCTCATAGGTTCCAACCCTAGTCTGCTTCTGAAAAGATGGGGGAGAGATGTCAACCCAACTTAGAGATAAAAGTTCAGTATCTTCATTGGCAAGTTCAAGCTCAGCTTGGTTATGCTTGTCATCATTACACTCTCTCATCTGATTCTTATCTCCTAACCTTTAGGATGCTTACTTCTGCATTGCAATAGGCCCTCTTCACAAGAAAGATCTCAGATTTACGATGGGCTGGACCATTATGAATACAAGGTCTTCCCATTTGGGCTCTCAGCAGCCCTAAGTCTTCACCAAGATCCTTATGGCCTACTCAGGCCACAGTGTGACTGCATACTGTATTAGGACGATTGATCAACAGAAGAAAATCCTCTGAACAGTTACCAGTCTGCAGTCTGTTGCAATCTTTGGACTTGCTAACTGCTGGACATTCAACCTTCTTTACTATTCAAGCACTAAAGTTGACAGGGGCCACTCTTCATTCCCTTCCCAGCAGTGCCCTGCTTCCATGAGGAGGGTACCAACCCTTAATAGATATCTTCACAAGATCAAGGTCAGCTTGGCAACATCAGTGACATCCTGCCTGAGCCTTCAAGTGCAGGGTCCCTAAATACTCAGAGGGAGTGAAGCTCTACATTAATGAGGCGCTCAAGGCAGTAAGGAAAATGTGTTAATCCTTCCTACATCACCGTGTTTAAATAAGGTTGGGAAACTATCACTGTAGTGTTTTATACCAACAAACAAGGAGGAGTGAGGTCTCACTTCTCCCTGTGTAAGGAAGCAGTATTTGGAACTGGCACAGCTGCTTTAAGATATCTTGTCAAGTACCGTGATCTCCTGCATGTGATTGTGAGAGCGTGAGATGTCCCCCAGTATTCCATACCACTAGGGTAGACATCCTCAGCTGACAAATATCCTTGTATTACAAGTGGAAAATCAAGGACTCAGTCCCTCAGGGTATCTTCATGGACTGATGATTCCCAGAAGCTGACCTATTTGCCTTCAGCAAGAACATTAGCAAGAAGTTCTGATCCTCTTGCTCCAGAGGGAACACCCTGGCTCCATGTCCCAGGTCTTCTGCCATGATCAGAGAAACCTCTATGCCTTTCTGATCATTTTTCTAATTCTGAGGAAACATCTCAAAGCAATTCTCTCTGGGTTTAATATTTACTCACTCCAGCCTGGCAGAAAGAGCTCAGGTACTATAATCTCCAGCATGTGATGAACAGCCCTAGAGCTCTCCTGTTCTTCATCCTCCTTACATAGAATGGAGGGAGGATAGTACACCCAAACGCACTGTCTTAAGTCTTCATCTTGCATGGGGACTGAAATGTTCTTGTATGTAGAACATGTATGTTCTTCAGTCACACATTCTTAGCTGAAAAAAGAAAGATACATTTCTGTAGCTAAATGGACCAAATCTGGTATATGTGATTTTTTTCCCCTCAGGAAGCCTACAGAAGTGTTCTACCTGGGCCACCTGCTAGAACTGAAACCAGGAGACTAAGCCCACCTTTCAGTTAAGGTGTTCCTGGCTGCCATCTCAGTCCACCATCGTCCAGTTAAAGATTGGCATCTCTTTCCCCATCCTACAGTCCTGAATATTGTTTAGTGTGTAACCAAGATATTCCTTCTGTTAAAAAATCCCAAGACCCAGTAGGTCCTGAATCTAATGCTCACATCCATGATGGAGCCAATGTTTGAGGCTTTGGCAACCTTCTTCTTTCTTCAGCTATGTAAGAAAAAAGCCTTATAAGTGACTTCTATTGCAGTGAGAAAAGTGGATAAAATCTAAGAGCCTATGGTAGATCCCTCTTCTGTTTTCTATCTTGGTAAGATTGTGATACCCTGGGGAGGGGGAGGGGGAGCTGCTACCTTGGCACCTAGTTCTCCTCTCCTGTGGTCCGACCTGTCTCTTGACTCTCCACCTTAAGCCTCACGTCACCTCAGTCTCTTTCCTGCCATACCTTCAATGTTATTCTGTTTGTTGTTGAGGGAGGGAGTCACTGGGGCTAGGAGTTACCTCCTTGGTTGCCTCCCCTGGGGCCTGTACTCCCCCTCAAGCGCTTCCCCTTTAAGGAAGTACTCCCGGAGGTTTCTTAGCACTTGTCAGGGCCTTGCTGTCGCAGCCATGGCCCCTGTTTCCTCTGGCTGAACCTTCAGCCTTGGTCTATACTTTAAGACGTCGGTATCCAGGTATCAGCCCTGTCTTTGCAGCAGCTCCTCCTGGGGCTTCAGTCTCAACATTCCAGTTTCTGTCCCTTTAGTTTAGGACTAGCTCCTGCTGTAAATATCAGGGACGTGCCACCCCCTCCCCCCCCGGTTCACGGCTTCCTCCACCCCTGCATCCACAGCCTGGTCCTCTGATTCAAACAGAACAAAGACACAAGCCAGCTACTCCATAATACAATTAGTTTGGGGGTAAATGTAGCCCATAGATGCTACCTCAATCGAAGCCTCCTTCCCCAGCTTCCCTAGGTAGCTTGGGTGCCTGTCTGTCTCCAGGGGCCCCTCACTCCTAACAGCTCCTGTCCCTGTTGCAGGCAGGGGCTGCCTCCTGCATGGTCAGAGGCTGGGTTTATCTCCCTAAGTCTAGTTTCCTTCTGGTCATGTAACTGGGTCTTCTGCACCCAGTGACCAGGTATAGCTAATTGCTTCATTAGCCACCTGGCCTTATTAGTCCTGAGCCCACTCCTTACTGCCCTTCCTGGCCCAAGTCCCTCACCCTCTTGGGCCTTTTCTAGTAACAGGGGCTGGGGTGCCCTGTTACAAATATACTTGAGGACTCACCTCCAGTCTCAACTTAAAGCTGTCACTGAATTTCATTTCCACCAGCAAATCAATTTGTTCAGGGCCTTACTTCTCCAGATCTGAGATATCTTTATGCATGCTTGATATGTCAAGAGCTTTGTCCTTGGCATAGGGCTCAACACTTCAAAAACTGTCTGGCTCTTTGTATCATAAGGGATCCAAAGTTGCAGTGATTTCAGCCCACATGTTCAGTTGAATCGTGAACAGTGTCAGACTCTGAGAAACTGCAGAAGTGGACCCAGCATTGATACTTAGTTCCCATTACATCCAAGCTGATGTGACTCAGTAGCTTCATACAAAGTTTTCTGTTGCTGACTTCTGCTGGGCAGCCACCAAAAGCTTGATACATATTTTTATCAGGCACTCCACCAATCACCAAACCTACCTGACATTTGGGACTGCTGTGGAGTCTTCACATTGATAATCTGTGACAAAAGAAACGAGTTATCTACAAGTGAAATTCTTTGATACAGGTTTTCCATATGCAGTTTCTATGTACCCCATCCTCCATTCTTTTTTTTTTTCTTTCCAGTCATTTTATAATTCTGAGACCTGCAGTTGAGAGGAAACTGAGGAACAGAAAACATGCACTTCCCTTTATGTTCTATATGTAATACAAAGAGGGGTCTGATGAAGGTGTGGTGTATAGGTACTGGTAGGGCAAAAGTTTGAATACTTGAATCCACACCAAGAGTGAAAATGTGCACATGGACAACACAGCTTGATGAATTCCACTTACTGTAGAGCAGAAGGCAGGACAGGCTGGCATCCTGCCCTGCCTTTGGCTTGACTTCAGACTAACATGGCTAACTACCTCTGTCTACTTAGTGGTAAATAACTTCTCTATCTGTGATGCTTCACTCCATTGAATTCCCATCTTTTTGGGGGAAAGGAGGGAGTATATTTTCTAAGTGTTTCCCTGATGTGGTCAATTTTTAGACATCCAACTATTTTAGTCTTAAAATCATTAAATGTACTGCAGTGTATTAAATATCAACCTTAAGTTAATTTTATGTTGTCTCTGAACAGGCTGAGACAATATTTCAAGAAATGTTTCCAAAGGAAGAATTTTGCCCACCACCACCAAATCCGGAAGATATTGTCTATGATGGAGATGGGACTCAGCCAGAAGATCCTGGATTCAGTATTTCACCTGAGCCGAAAGCAGAGCCCTTGCCTGAAGAAAGCAGCAATATAGAAAATAAAGTAACAGAAGAGCACAATGAATAATAGTAGTAGTAATAATAATAATAAAAAGCCTAAACCCAATATCACTATCATCTCAGTGGAAGATTTGGACCTGGTCTGGGGGTAACCGTTTTGTTTATTATTCACTATCTTTATAATTAGGTTTAATTCTACTTTACCTCTTTAAATACCTTCACTGATTGCAATTGTACTGCTAGGAAGAATGTAATATTCAGCTCTTCTAGGAGTGTTAAAAGCTGATCCAGAATCACTTAAGACAAGATATTTAATTTTAAAATTAATTTAATTTCCTTGAAAAGACTTCAGGTGTATTTGTGAGATGAAGGAATCTTTCTAAAATCAAGTGCATGGTTCAAAATAAATAGAAACAAAAATTATGAGTCAGTTTAACTTCCAAAGGGACAGATCTTCAGTTAATATAAACTATTTTGAAGTCAGTGGCTCTGTGAAAATTTACCAGTGGAAGATTTGTCTCCTTTAAACTGCTTATGGGGATAGGGCACTAAAGAGTGTTGGCAGTTCTGGGGCAACAAGCTTTTATTTACTGTTAAGAGCTCTTCTTAATTTGAAAGTTGTTTTTGAAGTGTATAATATAACATCCTTAAATAGTTTTGAAATCAGTATAATTCCATTTATTCATATTAAGCCAAAATAAAGGATAAACTAGTAAATATGCTTGGTCTCATTTGAAATTATATATTAGAAATATTAAAGAATTGCATACCATACTTGTGTGATAAGTGTCTAGGTTTCAATTTTGTTTGCAAGTGACTGACAATCCAGTCAGGAAGAAAATATAAGTACTCACAAGCACTGCTGGACATTCTTGCAGAATTAAGAACTATAAATTAAGTATGCTTGGAATCTTCATGAAGATTTAGTTTCAACAAAAAATAAGGCACCAAATGAACACATTTAAGTATTTGCAAGGTTAAAAGATATACATTATTAAAATAGAATTGTTGGCTGTTGTTTTTCTTGGGGGAAAAGTTACTGATTATAATTGCAGTTGTGTTAATTCATTTGAAGTAATAGGTCTAAAATTATGTAAATTATGCATTTTGTAATGATAAATCATAAACATATTTATACAAGAATTTTATAAATTGTATTTATAAACTTGGTTTCTATATAGAGTTACAAAACCCAGACATTTCTTGCAAAGGTTAATTAGAGTAATAGACTCCCAGCCCTCCTTTGAACCATATTTTGAAATCATATAACCTAAAGGAAAACAAAGTAGTTAGCAGTGTCTTTTCTTAGAATCAAAAGATTTACTTGAGGTCAAATAGGCACTGTGGGTCAGTAATGTCTATAAGTATATGTGCTGGGTAAACTTAGATAATGGTAATAGTAATGTTTCAAATACTATACATCAATAACATGCCATCAAATTATGACTGTTCAGTATTGGCAGATATTTATTGACACAATTCTGCTTTTTGTACAGTTTTCCAGTGAATGTGCCTGCCTTGAAAATGGCTTTGTGCCATAAAGGTTAATTTATTTATTTTTTTACAACATAGCTAACACAATTATTCTCTGTTTTACATCATAATACAAAGTCCAACTTGCATTTCACAAATATGTTCATGTTTAGAGTCTGTTAATATTTAGAATGTGTTACTGTTTAGTGTCTGTTACATTTAGGTTTTTATTTAATAGACATCCATGAGTTTAATCCTAAAGTCCTCAAAAGAATGTAGTTGAAATTTGTTTTGATTGCTAAATAATAATGATAGTGATCATTGGAATGCTTGAAATTAGTGCTTCTTTACAGGTGGCAAAAGATAGCCTACCTCTTCATCTCAGCTATCATTTTTTGTATGTACCAGAAAGCATGCACATAAAAAGGTAATTATATTTATAGGGTAAAAAATGTGTTAAAAGGTTAAGATGAGGACCTGTTTTCTGTTTGCCATTCAGTAACCTGGACCATGTTTGAGTTCTTATCTTTTATGTTTATGGACAAATTACATTTGTTCTATGAAAATAAAAGTTTTGGTTGCAAGTGCATTTTCCTGCGTCTTATTTCAGTTGTTTTTTAAAAAAGCAGCTAGCTCAAAGTCTTATTGTACTATTTTTTCAATGTCTATTGTAGTGTTATTGATGATGTGATGAAACTTAAATGAATCAAAAGAAATTTACATAATAAATGTGTGTCAAATAAAAAGCTTTGTAATGTTAGATGTTCAAGTTCAGTTAAAACAAGGACTGCATAACCTTCAAATTACAGACCGTGACTTTATACTACGTTCATTGTCTAAAAACTGTTTTCATGTCTTACTCAGGTAGTGAATAGATATCTAAGATATTCTTTCTAGAAGAGTTGAGTACCCAACAACTTATTTTCAATAGCGGTAGATAAGAGACTGTTGATCTTTTATTTTTCAGAAATTGTACCATTGAGGTGTGATTTCGTTCTTGATTTAAATGATTTAAACATACAAAGTGAGGGTTAGGCTTATTTGAAGTAGTTTTAAGACTTGTCAGACAGGATGTATTCAAAAGATAACATGACTTTTTAAAAAATGGCAATTTATCTGTGGGATTATTAATAAATCAAGTTAAAGAAAGATAAGGTTAATTGAATTTTTAAACAAGTAGCTGTATTATCCTTCAAGCACCTTGGAGCTCATACAATATTCACACCTTTTTTCTAACGAGTGCTTTGATATGTTTGAATTCCTTTTTTAATGAGTACTTTCTTTTTAACTTTGGTTAATTGGATTAACCCTTCATATGCAACCTCACAATTTGATATCATTTTCCTTTCTTGGTGTTATATTGTCTGGTATGTATGACAGCAATCAGTTACTCTTTCCTTAAAAGCATATTCAGCCCAGAAACTGCTACGTCTGCTTTTTCTTGCAATGATGATGCTTAGGGCCATTTGACAGGTAATCATTAGAACCTGGATCCTTGCAGACTATGGGGTCTTTTCTCCTATCATTGCAGGGGGGATTTATGTGGGTAACTCCCATTACTGCTAATGGGACTTGCATGTGTAAATCCTCCTTGCAACAATGGGAAAATTGACCCCTAATAAGAAATTCCTTTTGTGCTAGACTTGCTGATTCAGGACTGTCCAGGAATTACCAGCTCTTGTATGGAGGCCTGAAGTACAGAGAAGATGCTAGCACTCTGTCATCTTAGTGGGATACTGAGAGTAGGAAATAGGAATTTAAGAGGTTTATAAGGAATATTTAATGCTTTGTGTTCACTATTCATTTTTGGTTATATTGACAGATTTCCCATAACAATTCTGTATTTTTTCATATAGCAAACACTGATTTTCTTTTTCTTTTTTTTTATGGAGTTTACCTGGCTGGTTTTACTTCAATGATTCATCTTTTATAGTAATTTATCCTTCTAAACATCACTTTATTTCAGCAGCATCAGAACAGTTTAGTAATAGTTTGCTAGTAATCCATTAATTAATAGGAAGTAAAAGAGATCACTAAATTTATAGGAACTGTAAAAGACTTGATCATTTATTTTTCAATATTCTTGGCAGTCAAGTCATCTAAAAACATTGTTAAACATTCAGTTTCTTCAAAAATGGATACCTTTTCTCTCAACTTTCTTGGATATCCATTCAAAAAAGCTTTTAAATGCATTCTGCAACATGAACTGCATATAAGTGATGTTGTATTGGACTAGATTTGCTTTAGAATAAGAAAACAAAATAAGAAAGTATTAAGCCTGCTCTAATGCATTACTGGGCTGTCTAGGCCTCCTGCTTGTTGTGTGTGTGTGTGTTAATCTTTATAAGAGCCTAAATACAAGTAATAGTAAGTTCTTTACAGAACCACTGTGAGAATGTAAGTCACAGATCCCAGAAAAGACTACAGGGTTCATCTGTGTGGCTTCCAGAGTATGCACTATAAACCTGTACCTGAGTAACTATTTTGAAACTACCAAGAAGAGAGAAGACACTGAGCGCTAGAATATAACAGATTTGTTTGGCTGACTATCCATGTCCTATCTTGACTTCCTGTTTGTTTTTATAGCCTCTATCTCCTTCTCTACTTTCAAAACTTCTTAAGTATAAAATAATCATTTGTTAGATGCAGCTGAATAGATTTTGCCTCTGAGTCGTGGTGAAAATCTCCCCAAGTTAACTCCAGTGAAGTAGCTTTCTATTAGCTTGTCAGCCAAGTAAAGAATGCTTTTCCTTTGGTCAGTTGTCCTAAGGATTTTTCTTCCAGCAAATATAAGTCATGCTGTTTCTGCTTTTCTACAATTCATGGGCCTACCAGAGCCCATGGTACCCCTCTAAGAAGGCCAACAGAGCTGTTTACATATTATCCTGCTTTTTTTGCTGGTCCAGGTACACTATCCCTAAGGACCCATTTATCAATAAAACATCACCCGTTTTAGCAATATCATTTTATACCCTTATATAAGCATGTCTGTCTGACTGCCAGCATTTAAAATTCTTTATTATAACCTCTCTATGCATTGTCTTTAAAATCAGCCCATGCCTTGCCAACAACTGCAATCAAGAACCAATGTTGCTTATATAGTGTTGGTTCTTGCAAGGTGGGTTGCAGTATAGATGATGTCCAGTTTCCTGTAGTCCTTAACATCTTTGTAATGTGGAATCTACATATGGTATGAAGAGAAATAATTGCACCAGAAAAAAGGATTGTAGCCTAGTAAGTTAGCATAATTTGTCTACATCTTTTCCCACTAAAAAGTTCTTTTTTTCAGTTTTCAGCATACAGTAACCCACAAAACTTCCAATGCATTTGTCCACGTGAGGCCTATTGTCTCTCACTGGTCTTCAATGGATAATATTCTGCTTAGTTTTGAGAGAAAGGTTAGGGAAAAAGGGTGATGTATTTGCAGTAGCTGAGCATCAACTTTGTAAACTAGCTGAGACCCCTGTGTTGTTTTGGCCACCCATTGCAGCCAAAGTGATATAGTGATATAGAGGATACTTTGTAGCACCATTCATATGGTTGGAAAACTGGGTTCCACCGTACTCAGCAAGAGAACACCATAAGAAATGCCATATGGGGCACTGGGTCAGACTACAGTCCACTTAACCCAGAGTTCTATGGTTCACAGTAGCAGTGAGTGGATGCCAAGAGAGAGAGTATTTTTGCAAGGCCTATGTAGACTGATCAGGCTCTTGCCCTCTTCCCTACAGATTCCAGTATTCAGACAAAGAGTCCTAATTTTGAGATTCTTCCCCTAACTATGTTGCTTAATACTCACAAATGGACCTAGACTCCATGGTTTTGTTCAATCCAATTTTTGAACCTGGTTAAATTATTAACCTCCAACATTTCATGGTAGTTTGTCCCACTAGCTAATTACTCATTTTGTATGGGGAGAAAAAGCTTTCTTTTGTTTGTTTTAAATTTGCTGTGTAATAATTTCATTGCGTGTCCCCTCATTCTAGTATTGTGAAAGACAGTAAATATTACTTCCTATTACTTTCTCCATGCCACCCATGATTTCATAGACTTCTATAATACCCCTTCCTCAATTGCCTTTTGTTAAGCTGAAACATCCCAGTCTTAAAGCTTCTTCATACCTCTGATCATCCTTGTTGCCCTTCTCTCTGCCTGTTCTAGTTCTGCTACCACCTTTTTGAGGTAGGGGACAAGAACTGTAATATTTAAGGGATGGATGCATGATAGTTTTATACAGTGGCATAATTTTTTTTTTAATTTATTTTCCTTTCTTGATAATTCCTATTTGTCTTGACTGCTGCTGAACTATGGGCTGATATCCAGAGAACTATTCACAGTAATTCCAAAATCCTTTTCCTGAGTAACAGCAACTAATGTAGAGCCCATCATCTTGACTTGGTATTCCTTGACTTCAGCAAGGCTTTTGATACAGTCTTCCACAATGTTCCCTAAGAAATATGGGTTGGATGAATAGACTGTAAGGTGGATAAAAAAACTATCTGGATCATCAGGCTCAGAGGGTAGTAGTCAATGGATCGATGTCTAGTTGGCAGCTGGTATCAACTAGACATGGGTCAGTCCTGGGGCCGGTTTTGTTTAATGTCTTCATCAACAACCTGGAAGATGACATAGAGTACACCCTCAGCAAGTTTGCAGGTGACACCAAACTGTAGGAAGCACTAGATATGCTGCAGGGTAGGGTTAGGCTTCATAGAGACCTAGACAAATTGAAGGATTGGGTCAAAAGAAATCTCATGAGGTTCAATAGGGGCAAATGCAAAGTCCTGCATTTCAGATGGAACAGTCCCATGCACCAATACAGTCTGGGGACTGACTGGCTGGGCAGCAGCTCTGCAGAAACAACCTGGGTGTTACAGTGGACAATAATTTGCCCACCCTGCGTTGGACAGAGAAAGTGATCAGTTCATGGTCACTGTCACCAAGCTTCCCCTTGATCCTCAGATCATTCACCAGATTGTCCCCTTTGGCCAGAACCAGATCCAGCAGTGTCTCTCCCCTAGTCGGCCCATAGACCTCTTACATTAGATAGAGGTCATCAATGCAAGCAAGAAAGCTACACGATCAGTCAGATTTGGCTCTTCCCACAAGATATCAGGGAGGTT